AGGTACTCGACATGTCTGAGGCTTTTGATAAATGCGCTCCAACTTGTATGGATGATTTTAGAAGAATCCTTTAAGGATATAAGATCTATCCGAGGCTATTTTGTCAGAGCCTTGCTTGATGATGTTAATCTTTGTGAAAGAGGTCAGGAGAATCCACCAAGGATGTAGGACCTATCCGAGACTGTTTGCCAGAGCTCTGCTCAATGACATTAACATGTGTAGAAGAGGTCGGGAGAATCCACCAAGGATGTAGGACCTATCCGAGGTTATTTGTCAGAGCTCCGCTTGATGACATTAACCTGTATGGAAGAGGTCGAGAGAATCCACCAAGGATGTAGGACCTATCCGAGGTTGTTTTCCAGAGCTCTGCTCGATGATGTTAACCTATGTGGAAGAGGTCGAGAGAATCCACCAAGGATGTAGGACCTATCTGAGGTTGTTTGTCAGAGCTCTACTCGATGACGTTAACCTGTGTGGAAGAGGTCGAGAGAATCCACCAAGGATGTAGAACCTATCCGATATTGTATGTTAGAGCTCTGCTCGATGACATTAACCTGTGAGGAAGAGGTCGAGAGAATCCACCAAGGATGTAGGACCTATCCGAGGTTATTTGTCAGAGCTCTGCTTGATGACATTAACCTGTATGAAAGAGGTCAAGAGAATCCACCAAGGATGTAGGACTTATCCGAGGTTGTTTTCCAGAGCTCTGCTCGATGACGTTAACCTATGTGGAAGAGGTCGAATCAGATCCCTTTGGGACCGATCACTCTGCAATTGAGATGCAATAAAGTTTGCGTATGGGACTGAAGCTTATAGCCTGCGTGAATCTATCAACATGATTTTACTTGAAGAAGACAATAATTCAACTCAAAGAAGAAAAATAGTTTTACTATATCAAATAAAGACATACTTCCCTAAGATAACTTAGGGCTGAAGAAGTTACAAACACCACAAATAAACAAAGAGTCAACTGACTCATACTAATGAAGATAGAAAACACATAATATTGAAGACATAATAAGTAGAACTATTGTGCTCTACTGATAGTACTTGCGGAGATTATCAACATTCCAGGTTCGAGGGAGCATCTTTCCTTCAGCATCCTTCAATTTAAAAGTGTCAGGCTTCACCATAGCTGCTACCAAGTATGGACCCTCCCAGAGGGGGGAGAGTTTATTATGTTGAGGGCCTGTTCCTACTGCCTCGATGCTGCATAAAACAAGATCTCCAATCAAAATATGTAATGGTTTCATTCTTCGATTGTAGTGCCGGGAAACTCTCTGGTGGTAGGCAGCAACTTTAAGTCGTGCCTCGTCTCTTGCTTCTAGAAGGAGGTCTAGGTTGTGCCTGAGCTTTTCGTCATTGGTGTTGAAGTCAGAAGTTTGAACTCTATGACTTGGGACTCCAATATTGACAGGAATGACAGCCTCCGTACCAAAGCAGAGGTTATATAGCGTTTCTCCTGTTGGAGTCCTTACCGTAGTACGATATCCCCAAAAGACATTTGGAAGTTTGTCAGCCCATTGCCCCCCAACCTTATCCAGTCGTGTATTCAATCCTCTCAGAATGGTTCAATTAGTGACCTATGTTTGTCCATCAGTCTGAGGATGGGCCACAGCCGAGTGTACTAATTGAATGTGAAGAGTTTTACAAAATGTGGTGAAGACCCTTCCGATGAACTGTGTTCCGTTATCGGTGATAACTTTAACTGGAATGCCAAAGCGGTATATTATGTTCTTCCATAGGAACTGTTTGGCATTTGCTTCAGTGATCTTTGCCAGAGGTTCTGCTTCTACCCACTTTGTAAAATAGTCTACAGCCAAGATGATGAACTTCCGCTGTTTCGTGGCTATAGGAAAGGATCCTACTATGTCAATCCCCCACTGGGCGAAAGGCTAGGGACTCTGTAATGTTGAGATCTCTATGACAGGTAGATGGGTGAGGTTGGTATGTAACTGGCAACTATTACATTTTCGCACGAGCTCTAGTGCGTCCTGCTTTATCCTTGGCCAGTAAAATCCTTGTCTCAGGACTTTTTGTGCTAACACTCTTTCACCCAGGTGTTCTCCACGAATGCCTGAATGTACTTATCGAAGTGCATAATTTGACTCTGAAGGAGGAAGGCACTTGAGATACGATCCCGAGAAGGCTCGTTTGTATAATTCTCCATTGACAATGGTAAAGTTTGCTGCATGCCTTCGAAGTCGTGTTGCTATCGTCGGGTCTTCAGGAAGAACGCCTTCTTATAAGAAAGATAGAATGGGATCCATCCAGGATGTCTCCCTCGATTGTATTATCCATGGGCCTAGAATACTCGGGAAGTGAATTTCTTCGATATACTTTCTTTTGAAAGTATCACCGGCTATGGAGGTAGCTAGCTTAGAAAGGGCGTCTTCTAATACATTTTTCTCTCGTAGAATATGGACGATCTCATATTTGTTTATACTAGTTAAGAGCATTTTTACTTCGTTGTAATATAGGGCTAGTTGAGGGTTATGGATGTCAAACTCTCCTTCGACCTGTGAGGCGATTAATTGTGAATCAGTATAGATCACCAGGTTTTGCACTTCACAGTTGATTGCTAGTCTTAAACCGGCATTGTTTGTTGCAGGAAATTTGAATCAGAATCTGTATTTGAGAGAAACTTGTTGTGGAGAGATTAGCAGAACTCCTTCCCCGGCGTCAGAAACTCCATAGGCTCCATCAACATACAACGTCCAGCCCGGGGGAGTGGAAGAAGCACTTAGTTGATCTTCAAACATCGAGATGGTACATTCTACCACAAAATCTGCAAGTGCTTGTGATTTGATATCAGGCCTAGGCAGGTAATGAATGTCGAACTCTCCTAGTTCTACAGATCACTTGATGAGTCTGCCAGAGGCTTCTGGCTTTTGCAGAATATTTTTAAGTGGCAAATTCGTGTAGACTTCGATTGTATGTGCTTGAAAATAAGGACATAATTTTCTGGCTGAGTATACTAGTGCCAAAGCTGTCTTATCTGTTGAGGGATAAGGTCCTTCTATTTCAGATAAGATCTTACTAACATAATATATGGGACGTTGTATGACGTTCTCCTCCTGGACTAAGACTGAAATGATTGCTTGGGTGGAAATAGTCAAGTACAGATATAATCTTTCTCCCATAATCGGCTTTGAGAGTAGCGGAGGTGAGGCTAGATAGGTTCTGAGCTGCTCGAAGGCCTCTTGGCACTCATCAGTCCATTGAAATCCTGAGCTACGAGTACCTCTAAGGATTTTGAAGAATGGTAGATATCTATCTCCCGAGCGAGCTAAGAAGCGAGAAAGTGTTGCAATTCTTCCATTCAATCTTTGGACATCCTTGATGTTTCTAGGAGGCACCATATCCCTTAGAGCCTTGATCTTCTCAGGATTGGCCTCAATTCCTCGGTGGGTAACCATAAAACCCAAAAAATTTCCCGAGGCTACTCCAAATGCACATTTGGAGGGGTTGAGAGGCATGTTGTAAGATCGAAGGAGACGAAAACATTGCTCCAAATCAGAAATATGCTAAAATTTTTCAAGACTTTTCACTAGCATATCGTCTACATAGACTTCCATCGTATGCCCTATAAGGTCTTTAAACACCTTATTCATGAGGAGCTGATATGTGGCTCCTACATTCTTCAATCCGAAGGGCATAACCTGGTAGCAGTACAGTCCTCTGTCTGTTTGAAAAACAGTTGCTTCTTTGTCTACAGGATTCATTCTTATTTGATTGTAGCCTGAGTAGGCATCCATAAAGCTCAGTATTTGATGCCCGGACGTAGCATCAACGAGTTGGTCAATTCCAGGGAGTGGAAAGCAGTCTTTCGGACAGGCCTTATTGAGGCCTATATAATCAACACATATCCTCTAAGCTCAATTAGTCTTTTTTACCATCACCACATTTGTCAGCCATATGGGATAGTGCACTTCTCGTATGAATCCAGCCTCTAAGAGCTTGTCGACTTCTTTATCAATAGCTTGTTGGCACTCCGGTGCAAAACTTCGCTTTTTCTGAATAACTGGTTTGCACGTTGGGTTTGTATTGAGGGAGTGTATAATTACTTCACGACTGATTCCAAGCATGTCTGCCGGACTCCAGGCAAAGATGTCTTGATTTCTTTGTAAGAATTCTACATATTTTGTCTTCTCTTACTCCAAGAGTAATGATCCGATCTATATTATCCTTGAAGGATGTTCATCGGACAGGGAGATACAAACAAGATCTTCGACGGGGGAGACCTTCTGAAGAATGTCCTCGTTTCGTAGATCAAAATCTTTAATGCTTAAGGTGATTGATGGGGGTGGTTGAGCCTGTCGAAGATAGCAGGATTGTGCCTCTTGTTGATCTCCTCGTACTACGCCAGTTCCTGATGGAGTGAGAAATTTCAGCTTGAAATGTGGGATCGAAGCAACGATCCCGAAGATTGACTGTAATGGCCTTCCAAAGATAGCATTGTATGCTGATTCTGACTTCATGACAATAAACTAGATGGAGTGTGTGGCTTGTCGGGGGAATTTTCCCAGCACAACGAGAAGGTTTATCATACCTTCTACTCGTATAGGCCGATTATCAAATCCATATAGTGGACCTGCAGCGGGTTGGAGCTTCTCTCGAGCGAGGCCCATATTGAGAAATATGGAGTATAATAGAACATCTACAGAACTCCCATTGTCAATCAAGATCCTTTTGACTTTGTAACATGGGTCGCCGATCCCTGCACTTATTACGAGGGGATGATGAGGGGTATTTATTCCCTCTAAGTCAGAATCATCAAAAGCAATGGAATAATCGTCACGAGACTTCTTTGGTGTTGGTTCGTTAGTGGCCGCAATCAAGACTTGATTTGGCATTATAGACCCTCCGGCAATAGTTTCAATTTCACCAAATATTTGTCGATTGTTAGTCGACTGCCTTTGTTGTCGATTCTGCCCCTCAGCCGGAGCATCATCATCTTGTACTGGTGGATTGTTGATGAATTATCGGAGATATCCTTGTCAGATCAGTCTTTCGATTTCTTCCTTGAGCTGTCTACATGCTTCGGTAGTATGCCCACGGCTCCGATGGAAGTGGCAATATTGCTCCTGATTTCTGACATTGGGCTTCAAAGGTTGTGGCCACTTTACGCTCTCCTGGTCTCGGATGGCCATCAACACATTTGCTTTGGATACATTAAGCAGTGTGTACTCCTTCTCTTGGCGACGCTCTCGTCGTGGCTGAGAGGGCCGAGGGGGAAGATTATTATTCCACTGCTTCTTCCGTTGTGAGGATGGATTTTCCATTCCTGGTGTACTTTTTTGCTTCCCGGTTGTTTGTTCAAACTGTTTCCTATGAGCGTTAATGACTTCGTCGGCAGAGATTTGGGCTTCTACACGATGGATCAGATCCGCATATGAATGGACCGTATCTCGCATGAGTGCTGAGTAGAATGGTCCAGGACGAAGCCCTCCGAGGAATACGCCTCTAAGTAACTCGGGATCTACCCCTGGAATTTGCTGGGCTTCTGTAGAAAATCTTTGAAAGTACTCCTTGAGGGACTCATTTTCATTTTGGCGAATTTCTGAGAGGTGGGAAGAGTCTTTGACCATCCTCCGATTTGCAACAAAATGTTCGACAAATATTTTGGCTAATTTGACGAACATTCGGATAGATCCGGCGGGGAGTGAATAGAACCATGTTCGAGCTTGCCCTTTGAGGGTAGCTGTGAAGACTTGGCATAAAAGCGCATCAGAGGCTTGTTGGATGTGCATTATGGTTCTATAGTGATCAATATGTTCGTGCGGGTCAAATGTCCCGTCGTATGAATCGATGTTCAGAAGTTTGAACCTTGCTGGAATAGGGTGTTGAAGGATGGCTTTAGTCAAGGGGTGATGAATCCTGAAAATCTCTATGATGAAGAGATTGTCTTATATTTCCAACGGGGAACTCCTCTCATACTAGTCTTTGTAATTCATGTCGTAGGGCATTACGGGGGAGTTCGGCGATGTGTCGCCGAGTTAAGTCTTCGGGGGCATCCGGAGGAATGTGATATTGGCGGCCTACCCGCGAAGGATGTGTAGAGCTTGCTGTGTCAGCAAGCTCATTTTCTGGAGGTGTTGGAGGACGCATTCTTGATGGTGGAAGGGGAACTTCGACATGAAGAACATCTTCAAATTCTGGTGGATCTCGAGGAAGAAGTATATCTTCTTGAGGTGCTAGTGTCGGTCCTCGAGTTTCTCATAGGAGTTGAAGGATCTCATTATGCGATTCCTCCATCTTTCTGATATGATCTTCTAGGGATGGTCTTGAAGTTCCTTCTCCGACAGGGTTTCGACTACCAGGGTGAAAAGAGGTAGATGCCTGACGTCCTTGATTCATGGCTTGATTCCGAGATTGATGTGAATTGGAGCGGGAGGCTCCAAGGATGCGATTACTATGCCTATTGACCATGGCGGTGATGCTTCAGGATAGTGAGATTATCATTTCCCATAAACGGCATCAAACTGTTGCGGACTAGAATATACGTGGCGATAGAGTTTTAATTGTTTGTCTTAGCGGTATATGGATATCCAGCTCACACACAGAGAACATAAGATTTTTTACGTGGAAAACTCTTGAAAGGGGAAAAACCACGGGGCCTAGCCCAATTGAAAATATTTCACTAGAACTTGAGTTGGTTACAATGGGTTGATTCGTCTCTAAGGACGATCAGATTATAAGTAGAAAT